CGGGCAAGGAACTCCCAAACCTCCAAATTTGGGCTTCAGCGCGTGGGGGGCCTCCCGAAGGATTTTCCCCTGATTTGAGTTTTTTTCCGCCATGTTTGGCGGCCCGAAAATAGCAAATTTTGACAAAATCATTTTTGGCGGCGCAAGAATGGCCAAATGACCATTTTGGGAACCTCAAACCCCAAAATTTGGGCTCCAGAGCCTAAGGGCCTCCCTAAGGATTCTCTCTGATTTTGTGCATTTTTCCATTTTTGGTGATGGCCAATTTTGACTAAAAATGATTATTGTGTGACCTCAAAAACCCCCCAAATTTGGGTTCCAGAGCCTAAGGGCCTCCCTAGGGATTTTCCACATTTTGTGTATTTTTAACCATTTTTGGCGCCCCAAGAGAATGGCATTTTTTTGCAAAAAAATGAACATTTTGGGATCCCCAAGCCCCCAAATTTAAGCTCCAGAGCTTCAGAACCTCCCTAGGGATTTCCTTTATTTTGCGATTTTTAAACCATTTTTTGTTGCCTAAGAATTAACATTTTTTGCCAAAAATTAACATATTGGGAACAACAAACCACCAAATTTGGGCTCCAGAGCTAAGGGCCTCCCTAAGGTTTTTTCCACGATTTTGTGCATTTTTTCATTGTTTGAAGCGGCCCGAGAATAGCCAATTTTGGCAAAAAAAAAGGATCATTTTGGGAATCCCAAACCCCCAAATTTGAGCTCCAGAGCCTAAGAGCATCCCTAAGGATTTTCCTTATTTTGTGCATTTTTGGATCATTTTTGGCGACCCGAGATGGCAAATTTTGGCTAAAAATGATCATTTTGGGACCCCCAAACCCCCAAATTTGAGCTCCAGAGCCTAAGGGGTCTCCCTACAATTTCCTGTATTTTGTGCATTTTTTCCATTTTTTGCGGTGCAAGAATGGCCAATTTTGGCCAAAAATGACCATTTGGGGAACCCCAAACCACCAAATTTGGGCTCCAGAGCCCAAGAGGCCTCCCTAGTGATTTTCCCTATTTTGCGCATTTTTGGCCATTTTGGACAGCCCGAGAATGGCCAATTTTGGTTTAAACAAAAATCAGCTTTTCGTGGCTGTCTGCAACCCATTACATAGGTAGAACAAACTCCTTCTCAGGGGCTTGGGTAGGCTGAGATTTAGGTGGATTCTTGGAATGACTGACATGACCTGTTTGCGGGTCCTTGCTTCAATTTACTTAAACCTCCTTTCAGTGTTCTTGCTTCAAGTTACTTAAACCTCTTTGCGGCCTCTTTGGTTCAAGGAATTTCCCTCCATGAAGCTGCCGAGCTGTTGTGGAGCCACTTGTTTGATACTCTAATTGCGCTGGCGCACCTCGGCGAGCTTAGCTCCGTCTGAAAAATTTAGGGCGAGTTTATGGCTGAAGGTTTATAGGGTCTGGGGCCCTTTTGCGCACACTGGATTTCTTCCTTTATCTGGGCAGCGGACTTCCAATTTTCCAAGAATCCATGTCCCCACCACCCCACCACCCCACCCCCACCCCCGCCCCACCACCCCACCCCACCACCACCCCACCACCCACCACACCACACCACACCACAC